GGCGGTTCGACAGTTCGGTTCGAACGGAGGACCTGTTCTGACAACAAAAATTACATACAAAAAATTGAGTGTGTGAGGTCCATTAAGCAGTATCATATGTGTTATGTCATTCAATTTATGATTCAAACGACTCGAAAACGGAACTGTTTTGGCCACCGGTTTTCGGGTTGATGGTTCGACCACCCAATTCGAATAGACGGTTCGTTCTGACAACAAAAATTAAAAAAAAAATAAAATTGGCATAAAATGATTGAACGGGTTGACGGTTCAACCACCCATGTCAATGGATCGTTGACCGATTTAACAGTTTTTTGCCAGGGACCGGGATTGTGATAAAATAGAACCAGTTGCCTGAACGGTTCCTAATTAAAAAATGAAAAAAATGGTCAAAAACAATTGAACGGGTCGATAGTTCAACCACTCGGGTCAATGGGTCATTGATCGATTCAATGGTTTTTGTCCAGAGACCGTGATTGGGGTAAAACGAAACCAGTTGCCTGGACGGATCCTAGGCCGAAATGCTTGTCCGTCCGAGTCAACGACAATTTGAAAACCATGGTTTTTTATTCTTTTGGATTTTCACTATTCAAAGGTTTCTTCTACTGTTGGCTTTATTTAAGCGTGTGCGGTATGTTCATTTTTTTCATTTTTTGTTTTTTTTTTGTATTTGGTCTTCTTCTTCAAGATCCTCCAAAGCAGGGGTTTACCACCATTTTATTTCTTCTCTTTTTGTTTTTTTTTCTTTGGGTTGTCTTGTGCAATGTTTTTTTTTTCTTACAAGACGATCTGTTTTGTCTCTTTCTTTGATTGCATGTATGTCTAGCTCCATATCAAAGCGGAACTTTGGACTCAATTTTCTAATTTTTTCCTTGGTTTTTCTAGTTTGGTGGATTTACCGCCAATTTTTTTCCGTGTTTACGGTCACTTTGGATTTTATCTTTCATGGTTTTGGAATCCCTTGCAACGTCCACCCTTCTCATCACTATGACTACAAAGTTATTTCGTCTAATTATTGTCTCTAGAAAAAATGACTAGAAACGAAACCATTATGGCCATCAGTTTCTAGAACGGATGGCCCATTTTGACAACAAAAATTAAAAAAAATAAGAAAATAATTAAAAATAAAAAATGGCCAAATACCGTTGAACAGGTCGACAAGTCAACGGGTCGTTGACTGATTCAACGATTTTTGGCCAAGGACCAGGTTTGGGGTAAAACGGAATTGGTTGCCTGGATGGTTCCCAGGCCGAACGGTCCTACTGTCTGAGTCAAATGTGAGTTTTCAATGTGAAACAAAGGTTAGCTATGAAGTAGAGCTTAAAACTATCACTGTATGATCATATTCTTTTATATGAGATGCTTTGTTGAAGCAATATTTAAAAAACGAGCACATGGCGATTTATTTTAAGTTTTTATATAAGTTTCAAGACTTGAGTACTTATAATTACAAGTTTCTTATTAATAAACTATTGTCTTTTTTAATGTAGAAAATAACAATATTGTAATTCCATTCCAGCCCCTACGAAGTAGGGCCCTCCACTAGTATAGCAATTATTGTGATACCACGACATTCATTTAAAATACTATCCTATCACCACCCTCGAAATAGTACTCTATTACCCCCTGCCCCCTGTTCTATACACTATACAGAACTCCAAATGGTAAAAAAGAGTGGTGGAAAGTGGAAACATCTAACTAACATGCTTAGAACTCCACACTAGGGAGCAGCATTGTGGGTTGTTATTCTATGGAGATCTTTCTTTGAAAGAAAGACTAACACATGATAAACGGGTGGTATATATGATTCTAAAGTTATACCAATCTTTTTCCTTTGAAAATGACATTTTGACTCAGTTTGGAAGGAGTATAAATACAAATATGTATACCAAGGTTCAAAATATCAATACACCCAATATGTTGGTAGGGGTATATTGAGCTATACCGGTATTGTTTTTTTACTTTGTTTTATTTTTTTCAAAACCGGTTCAGGGGGGCGGTTTAAGGCTCTTCCACCCCTTGAACCGGTTAGAACCCCGATATACCCTCTGTAGGGGCATATTAGGGAGCTCCCGAAACGATATGTATCAATCGATATGGGCCAATATGTATTGATACTTTGAACCTTGATGTATACTACAAATACATACAAAATATAAAGTTTTACACTCTACATATTTGTATTTGTACTCCTTCCAAGTGGAGCCTTTCTTTCAACTACACAATGCAAAATAGAGATGTTATGACTGAAGTCATATTGGCATATGAGAAACCTCATATATTTGTCATGTCTTGCTTTGATAAACTAATCAACCTCTATGTGTCTCTCCAAAACAAGCACCGGTTTGAACAGACATCTATGTGTCTATTCAGGTGACTGAAAGCACTCTATAAATAAAATGTTGATTGACCCAGTAACACATGCCAATACACACAACACAGTTTTTTTTTCTCTATAAATCGTCCATTTCTGAGCATCATTCTTGGTAGTTCGCAAAGGTCTACTAAGTGAATGCACGCCTACCAATAGCTTGTAGACTATTTTATCTTGACAACCAATTTGCATTCACCCAACTGCATGGAGACAAATGCAATTTTAAGAAGAGTGACCAAATAGCACGACTCAGCCCTCATATTCACTACAATTCTCAGTTCTCAATAATAATTTTGCAATTCTTCTGCATTTCAGGTTTGGATAGCATTCACTGATAAGTTCCCTTTCTACCTTTCTCTTTATAATTTTTACAACAATTAATTTGTTAGATATACTATACATTTTCAATATCATAGCAGGACCTTATTATTGGTTTTAACCTTCAAGTTTTCTCGAGCCACCTTTTAAGAACTTTCTTTTATTAGCACTATACCAACTAAAAAACTAAAAAAGCAAAAGAAAATGAACAATTAATCATTAAAATTAGTAATTTATTCCACCATTTCCCAATATTTTCTTTAGTATATTCCTTGTTTATAATAATTTGAGCCTTATTGTTATTAACATATTACTGCAATTTTTGTGAGTTCCCTACTTATCACACCCATGCATATCCCGATAATATCCACAGTATCCATACTCAATCCTGAAATTTTGAACCTTGAAAGAAACTCAGATAAATGGAGAAAAATAAATGATAGCGAACAAGTAAATAAAAAGAAATGAGTAATGTATCTATACTAATTTGCATATCTAAAGTTCCATTCAATCAAAACTCTTCTTTTTTTGTTGGATACTCTGTTGGTGGATATTTTAGAACTAATAAAATCAATTTAGTCTTAGTATGGAGTATGTCGGTTATCCTGAAAAGTCATCTATATTGTATCATAGAAACATACAAATATGTTATAATATTTTAAATCTTTAGGCTCAGTTTGGAAGGAGTATAAATACAAACATGTACAGTATAAATACATACAAAATAGTATAAAATACAAGGTTTTACATTTTACATATTTATATTTTTATTCCTTCCAAACTGAGCCTTAGTTGCGTTTGGATAAATTTTAGGATCTGTGCTTTTGAAGCCCAAAAACACAAATCCCAAAGTTAGGCTTTGTGCTTTGACGCTTAAAAGTGTTGGTTTCATATTATTCGTCTTTAAAATCAACGCTTAAAGAACACAAAATATACTTCTTCGCTCAATTTTGTTTTTCAGCAAATCGGAGATGTTAATGCACAGATGAAAAAGGCTGTGAAAACGATATGAGAATGATTTTGTGAAAATCAAATCCGATTTCGTTCTAAACGCTTTAGAACACCATTCTGGCCTTCCTTGGCCGTGTCTTATTTTGCTTTGGAAACCCGGAACTCTCCTATCTCAGCTATCCTCACTCGCATTTTGCTGTATAAATAGACGATATAATACTAGGGCGCACCTTCTAGCCCAAGCTGCTAAAACGTCTGAGCACCAGCAATTTATATTTAACTGTAAACCACCTTGGCTGCCTGTTGTTTCGGACCTTAAAACTAACACAGGAGTACTCGTATGTATGTTGTATCAGACCATTGAATCCCTCAAACTCATCGGAACAGCCATCAGCCTTTCAACTAGTACAAGGTTTTAAAAACCGATCTGGAACCGAAACCATTCTGGCCATCAGTTACTAGGTTGACGGTTCAAATGCCTGGTTCAAACAGACAGCCTATTCCAACAAAAAATAAAAAAAAAATAATTAAGATAAAAAAAGCTAAAAACCGTTGAACAGGTCAACAGTTCAACTGCCTGAGTCAATGGATCGCTGACCAATTCAACGATTTTTTGCCAAGAATAGGGTTTAGGGTAAAAACAGAACCGATTGCCTGGATGGTTCCCAGGCCAAACGGTCCGACCATCCAGGTCAACAACAGTTCGAAAACATTGCAATGGATAACAACTATGAGCCGTACAAGTGGATGAGCATGACGATAGCAACGTTGGAAATTTTGGTTCTCATTGAACCCCACCAAAATACCAAAAATTTTGAGCCCACCAAGGCACCAAATACAATCTGCAACGTAAGAACTTGTTAACATTTCCACAAAATCAATGCGTTTATAAAGTTTCGTCACAGAACAAAATGTGGGCCAAGGATTATCTCTGCAGGTGTTATTTCTCGATTCTGAGGTGGTTTGGATTAATAGGATCTATAGTGAAAACTGAAAACCACGCAATTTCGAGAAGTTGGTGAAGAGAAATAACCTAGCTTCTAAACAAACCTTCTCTCAATGGTCAATACAACACAAAATGTAGCTAGCACAATACTATTTACCTAGGTCATAGGCTCAGCTCGAAAATAGGGAAAAGCTTCTTAGCCTTTCAAGTCAACCCAAAACACCAATAACTAATCAGTGATATTAGGACTATAATCTAATGAGATGAGGGGGCCTATACACCATGAGGTTGGAAGAGCTCATCTACACTGAACATGTTCTAACTTCATCTTTCCCTGACAAAAATACTAGAGATTTTCCTTTTCTTTTCCTTTTTTTGGGCCACTCATGTGATTAAAGCTTGATCACCAAGCAATAGCATAGAAAACAGAAAGATAAGTTCAAAGTACATGTCATTAGTAGAAAGTGTACCATATTCCAACCAAGCTGCCCCAGAGACTAATTTTAGTTCAAACTGTTGCCTAATAGACATTGTAGAAGATGACCGAAGCCGTTTTTATTTTACAGACTAACCAAGTAAAGATTTTCTAGGTCCCTCATATTGTTAAAGTCACCTTGTTATGAAGAATATGTAATCCTGAGACGCTCATTAAGATAGTCCCCACTGCGGATGGGAGGAAACCTGCAAGCACAATAAAGACTTTCTTTTGATAAATAGAATGCAATAAGAGTCAGGTAAATAGATTAACGTGAATTCTATTTATTTCCAGCCCCACATATCATTTCAGAAGGATTCTACTGAATACCTATTCTATTGTCTTTGCAATATTTTTTTTTTTAACAACAATAACAAGTGAAAATTATCACAAGTAAACCCACAAATGGGACCATCTAGAGGTGATTCCTAACCCATCTGCATTTGCACAATGCTTATAGGACAGCTGTCAATAAATATATCCATACCTTGGGGGAAATATCTCACTGCAGCAACTTTCCAAGCATTCAACTACACAATCAGAGTTAGGATCTAAAAAGAAGGCTGCCTGCAATATTGCAGGACAGTAAGAAATAAGAAACAAATAGAAATATGTTTTCAAGTATAGATATAGTTTTTTAGTGCAACCAAAGCACAAGAGTTTCTTATAGTCTGAGGCACAAGGCAATATGTGTGCCTGAATGAAGTGATACACACCTCATAGGTTGTAGTCTTGTAAGTTCAAGTCCTACATAGAATATATTGTTCAACTAAAATCTGAAAATCATAGCTACAACTACAACCTACAAAATAATATATTACCTGTTAAACAGCAGGCTTGAGGTTAACTAATCAAAACATAGCAGCAAGCCAGGTGAGGAACACATAGGTTCAGGCAAGGCACACCCATAAAATGAGAATTGCCTGAAAACTTGGGTCTGCCTTTTGAACACTCTACTCAACAATAGCTCAAGTGCACAGACCAGTGTTTAAAAACAAAAAGAATTGCTCGGTCTTCTGTTATGTAACCAAGTAAAGAAATGGTAAGGTGGTGAATGGACTCGTAATTAAAGGGCAGCCTAGTGCACGAGGCTCCCATCAATGCAGGGTTTGGGGAGGGAAAGATGTATGCAGCCTTACCCCTGGCACATACAGAGACGCTATTTCCAAGCTTTGAACCCAGGTCACAATGGATCAACCCAATCGTTGTACCAAGGCCCACCCTTGGACTCATAATTCATTACTAAATTTATTAAAATGCACAAATACATTACAAAAATAGAAACTAAGGAAACATAGAGGAAAAGCCTAAGGTTGTGATGTCATGCAGTTAAAAGGCAAGTTCTTATGTCTCGGATGAAACGGCAGAGAACACATCGTACATCATAACAATTCTCAAGAAACAGATTAAAAGAAAATTTTAAGAGAATTTGAAAACTGGTAATGAACGAAACAAGCATATTGATATAGAGATAAATTTATAATCTGTTTCTTGAGAATTGTTATGATATGCAATGTGTTCTTCTCTGCAGACATTGAGTAAACCTAGTCTACTGCTGCTCTTTAACCTTTGTTCATCATCATCATCTAAGCCTTGTCCCAACAATATGGAGTCAGCCACATGAATCCTGCTCCGCCATTCTGTTGTATTCAATCCCATATACACTGATAAACTGTTTAAATCATTTTGAACCACGTCAACAGTTCAACCCATGCCCTTTTGTTCTACCCCTAAATCTTCCAGCCCCTTCAAATTGTCACAGATAATTTCTCCCTAACCTTTATTTTTTCCTTCTATATTTTTATTTCTTGCTAAGGTTGGTTCTCTGTGATATATCTTCATTAAAATCTCCTTTCTAATTCATTTCTCTTAATATGTATCATGCGGGCCTGAACCAAGCCGAGCCATCGCTCTTGGGGCCAGTCCATTTACTTGAGGCCAGTGGGAAAGTTCCTTAATGGAACAATGGCTTATTTAAAATAGGTACAACCATAAAAGGCTATATTAAACCAGGAAAAGTAAACTGGGAGGCAAATCAATAAGTACAGAATAGCGTTCTTCTCCCGTTGCCATAACTCGATGCAATGTTGAACTGCAAATGAGGAGAACAAGGCAAAATGAAATGTCAAAACAATGTCTTTCAATAAATCCAGTATTGGTATCACAATTTGTAAGAAAAATTGGAATCTTGAACCTAGAAAGGAAAAAGATTGTAAGTGCTGAAACAAAGGCCCATAAATTATACAATGAGGAAGAGGAATTACCGAAACAAACAATTAGTCCATCTCTCTGTCATGTCACCAATGTTAACAATAAAAGCTCTGCAAGTCAATAATATGCCACAAGAAACTTCACAATTCTGAGGATATAATATATCTAGGCTGATAAAAGTGAAACGAACTGTTATTCATTAAAGTAGTCCATGACAAAGGTGACCTTACTAATTGAAGCTAAAGGCAAACTTCTGGAGTTCTGGTTTAGAAATCAACACAACATAAATAGCCAGTCGACCAGATTTCCCTATTTACCCTATACTTGCAAATTTAGAAAAGCATGTTTACTCAAGAAAAGAACATCTGCTGAGGTAAAAGTTAATGTACAACTAGTCCTAGTGGAACGTAGATGCATCCTAGCAATGTAACTCCCTGAAACATAAACAACTCAGAGACTTTGAATTAAAGTCAACTCTATCTGATTATCATATTCTTAGACTGCACTGACACTTCAGACAATGGAACAAAAGATTGCACTCTGCTCACGTGCCAGAGTTACATCATCAGGTATTATTAAACTGCAGTGTCATGTGTTATTAAAAAGAAAATTTAGTAGACATTTTTTTTTTTGCAAGAAAAATTATTGCAAGGTGGGTTTTTAGGTTTTCTTTCAATAATTCCAGAATAATATAGAATCTATTTCTTCATGGCAATACTAATTTGCAACCAATTACACAAAAAAGTTTGAAAGTAATGCACTTACCCATTGAGATGATGAACATCCTCCCATACCTGAGGCAGATTATCCTTTTCTCTGCAGATCTGTTAAAGAAAAAAATGTGATATTAGAATAATGTCAGCAATCAAAATTTGAGAGACAATCATTTTTTTGACCAATAGATATGAGACAATCTTTTTTTGGCCATTAGATATACATACCTGAAGTCCACGGACTCCATCTGTTGCCAGAAGAGTTATCATCCCATAATCTGAATGAGCAGAAGCACCATATGTTCCATCACTGGAAATATCCATTCCACCTGAAATCAAAACAGTTAATATTTGTTAAAAAAATAAATTAACTCATAGAAGCAGAACATTTGCATGTTAGAAGTACCAAGCAAATATAAAAGAGGAGCTTGATGCCCTAACAGCACCTGGATTTGGCATATGGATCAAACCAAGTTGGGAGCTAAAACTGGGAGACGTCAAACATCCCCAACCCCCCCCCCCCCAATAGGTGTGAATTGTATTTTAAGTAGTATAAACTCTCAATCACTGACTCACTACTAGAAGTTGGTATGATGATCAACCACAATCATCAATTCATTCATGCAAAGTGCAAGCTTTGTTTCCAAAATACAACTTATGACAAAAAATGAAGCACCCAAAAATACATGCATGTGAAACAGTGTATAACTTAAATTTCCCTAAGATATATAGCCAACTAATAAACTAAAATGCTATTTGTAAATTATGTGTATAAAGGATAGAACAATAAGTAGCTTTCTGAAGCACATTATGGCCATCAGTGCAGAAGAAAAAAATGTCAAGAATACAAATAAATAGGATAAATACCTGTGAAGAAACTACAACAAAAGAGGAAGAAATTTTAGAAAGAAAAATTGTATTACCAAACCTGGATAGTGTAAAAGGCGAAGAAATGCCATTGGTGAATCCAATGCCCCAATTTTCTCAAAGAAATTCTCTTCCAAGTTCAAAGCAAGAGCAATCAAGGAGATTAACTTTTTCCCAGCAGTGCTGACAAAGTCAAATGCAATATCCATTATGACATGTTCTTAGAGAAATAAAAGGGAAAAACATAGAAAAGGAATCTTGCCCCTATATAAGCTCATGTACATCATCATCATCTAAGCATTGTGCCAACTATATGGGGTTAGCTACATGAATCCTGTTTTTGTCATTCCATTCTGTTTAGTGTCATATCCATTGTTAGAAGATTTTAACAAAAAGGAAATTTATAGAAGACACAAGTCACACAATAAAACATTGTGACCTGGGTGATCAGGGTTCAAATCTTGGAAATAGCCTCTGTGTATGGGTAAAGCTACATACATCTGTCCCCTCCCATACCCTGAATTTGTGGGAGCCTTGTGCACTAGGTTGCCATTTTTACACAAGAAAACATTGCTTCACCCCCCCCCCAAAGAAGTAAAGTTAGGATTGAATGATAAAATCATGAAACTTACAGGAGTTTTTCATAATAAAATTCCATAGTTGGTCTCCAAGATGGCAGAGCTTCTACAATTTCCTAGCCAAAACAGCATCAAGAATTCTGTTCAACAAAACCTCTTCAATAAAAAGCAATTCTCAAGGTAACAGCAAGAAATGCAACAAGAGGATTGAAAAATAAAAAATAATGTCAGACACAAGGCAGAAATTGGTTCATGCTTGTTATTAATCTATGATGATAATACTAGATACATGAAATAAAAACTCAATAACCCTTAAAGATGATAAGAACAAACAATACCATCCGAAGGCCATTGATTCAGATGACTTTGTGCAAGGCCTTCTATAGGGCCAATGTAGAAACTCTCCTTCAGATCACCTGGTTCCCATTACACGCAGAAGATCAGTATTGTATCATGTTTTTGTGTGTGTGTGTGTGTGTGAGAGAGAGAGAGAGAGCTCCTGACATCGCAAATATGAGTTCACGACATGGCCAATAGGTAATAGTGATCCGATAGAAATTTTTGGAAATCAAAGGGACTTCTGAATAAAATACCAAATAAGCCTTCCAGCGATGTAATAAATACCCCAAATCTGACAGACAAGAAACATAGACGCAACTCAAGTGGTTATGCTTAATATGTATGATGTTCAAGGACCAATAACTAGGAGCACTGTTGCCAAGTTTTGTAAAACTAATCCAGCCTTTCAATTATAAATGCAGGTCAGGAGTCAAAATTAAATAATTCCTTCCAAAAGAATCCCCAATAACAAGGATGCAGCATAGAATATTTAAAACAAACAAAAAAAAAAAAACCTTGAACACCATATTAAGGTATGTCAACATAGGAAAAAGGAACCCAGATAGAAAATCACATTTTAGATAGTATCATCTTGCCAAAGGTGTATCAACGTAGTGTGACAAAAGATTAGTCAATTTTCTTTCAAACAACAGCAAACACAATTCAGACATGAGAATAAGCTTAAACAAGGTGCAGGTTCAATGCAGAATACTGGCTCCTACCTAAAAGTACGAGTCTTCAGTATGTAAATTGAGGTTTTCCCATCAAGTTCTTATTAATCTATCATTTGGATTACATTACTTATAATGGATCTTATTTGGTTTCTTCTGTTATGTTGCAGACTTCCATTACAATACATTGTGTTGGGAGACTCCATCCCTCGATATCCTCCAAAATGGAGAGACTACTTAGTGTTTGTATCCATCCAATTTACAATTCCTTTTTCCTCTCTACTTTCTTTTTTATCAATCCTAGTTACCATCTGTACCTAAATGCTACCAATTCAAAAAAATGCCTCAATTCCATCCACCGTTTCACCCTTAGTGACATTTTAATCACTCAATTTTAAAAATAATCGTGTTCCATAACATTTTTGGTATCTATCCTCATTAAACTTATCAGATTTCTGACGTTTGGACAACTCTTAACCATTTAATTAATCAGTATCACACAGGAACAAAGGTAAAGGCTAGGGGAATTAGACCATTGGAAACCTAACTACCAAAGCAAATTGTTATGATTTTCGGCATGAAACCTAACTACCAATTTGTTATGGTTTTCAGCATTATAACCTTCTTTATTGTCCCATTAATTGGAGGATCCTGATCAGACCACAAGAACAAAATCAAGGCGAAGACACATATAAACAAATTCACAAGACTGAAATAGAGATGAAAGGCTAACAGACTGATAAGAGTACAGCGGCAAACCTCTAATATTTAATGAAGGATCAAGTTTCTCGGCATAAAAAGGTGTGTAACCTCTGTGTTCCTTACGCACGAGTTTCATCTTTTCTTCCAGAGGAAGCGAGAAGAATTTTTTACTCTCCGCAAATACTCTCTTAAGCAGTTCCTCCTCAACCCCATGATTCACAAGGTAAAAGAAACCACAGTCCTCGCATGCCTGTTTCCACTACAGTATTAAAATTACATGAAAAAAAAAAAAGAAAGCAGAGAAGAAACCAGTTTTAAATTAAGCAAGGACTTAGAGTTCGAGATGAAAGTACCAAAGAGAAATTATCCCACTTGTAAAACAAGTGGTTTGAATAAATAAATAATTTCCGGTTAAGAAGGAAACTAGTAAATCAAATTATTCCAGATAACTAGTTAAAATGTTATCCCGGATAACTAGTTAAAATCAAATTATCCCAGGAAACTGGTACCAAAGAGAAATCATCCCAGATAACTAGTTAAAATGTTAAGAAGGAAACTGGTAAATCAAATTATTTGAATAAATAAAGAATTTCCAGTGAAGTCAAGCTATCTGGTCTCTACGACGACATTCTTATTAAAAAGGCTCCCCGAGCAAAGAGAGACAAAAAAAAAAAGGAATGATGAAAAACTAAAGAAAATCGATAGGTAAATTAATAAAAACCTAGAAGCTGTTTAAGTTAAGCTGCTCAATATTCAATATAGTATGGAATTTAATAGTGAAGTCTTAAACAGTTAAACTACGAATACGCTTAATTTAATATCAAAATCATGGTGTTCGAAGAAGAACCAGAAATAGGGATAATTCTAGGGTTTTGAGGAACAAACCTGACGGATCGATTTGGCTGCTGATATGCGATCTGAAGATGATAAGTCGACGATGGGAAGCTTCAGAGTTGCCGCCATTTCTTTCCCTCCTTTTTTGTGTTCGTGCATCTGTAGACGGTTGTCTTGCCGCTGCGTAGTCTATCGCTTGGGAAGTTGGGAACTTGGGATGACTAAACCCCCAAATAGGCAAATACCAAGTGATCGTGGATCAGGCCCAAGCGCACTCAGCACCTGAAAGTGGGAATGGGCTCAACCTAGGCCTGAGCCCAGTAATGTTCGAGTGGACGCCCGGTAACACATTTAGCTCTAATTTATAAATGCAAGTGAGAGATTGATTATCGTGGGTATACTTGTTCATGGGCCGGGTAGCCCGATGGCCCAGCCTGCACTCCGGTCAGGCTTGGTCATGTAATTAAGCCCGTGGGCCTGACCTCGGGCCTAACACAGTAAGCCCGACTGTGTTACGGGCTGGGCTTGGGATTTGTCAAAAAAGCTCGGCTCGAGCCCGGCCCGGCCCGACTCAGCATTATATATTTTATAAAATACATAATATGTATTTTATATATTATATAAAATATATAATTAATATAATATTTATTGAAATATATATATTTATAATTTAATATATACATTCTTTTATTTTTTTTCTTCATAATTTCGGGTCCGGGCTTCAGGCTTTTTATAAGGGTTGGGCTCGGGCTTGGGCCTTAGAAAAATCTGTTAATACAGAGTGAAAGCCCGGCCCGGGCCGGCCCATGAACAGGTCTAATCGTGGGCGAATGCACAACCAGTAAAACAGCCATCAATTTCAGCTAATTCTTTCTCGTATCAAAAAACTAAAGTCAACCAAGTTGTTACAGAGGATTATACTGAAACCAGTGTTTTTAATCCATCGTTGACCCCCCAACCGGTAGAACTATTCGAACCATTATCCAGTTAGGATTTTAGGTTTGGTTCTATTAAAATCGGTCATTCAATAAAAAACCGTTGACTTGGTCAAAAATCAACTAATCTGGGTGATTTAATTGTTGACCCGTTTATAATTTGGTAAAAAATTGTTGACTTTCAGAGGTTATAACTTTACACTCCGATGTCCAATTGGGGTGATTTTTTCAATGCGTCCTAAGGCATCTTGTCCCGCTCTTTTTGCGGGAAAAAAAAAAAAAAAACTGTTTGGCCTCATGTCGGGAAGAGCACTCCCTGCCCCGGGGGGACCCCGATCCCCGCCCATGGGATCCCCACTAATATATATGTATATATGTAAGTATACGTTATATATGTACACATACGTCTTTATATTAATGTTTTAAAAATATGGTTGAATATGTTTGAATCTTTTTTAATAGATTGTAAGTTTTAGTTATTTTATTTTTATTTTTTAAATAAAATAAAAAACAAAAACAAAATTATTAACATTATAAAAAATTACGGGGAATGTGGATCCCCGTGGGGATGGGGATGGGGATAACCTTGTCCCCGTTAGAGGGGATGGGGACGGGGACGGGGATGGGGAGAGGCTCCCCGTCCCCGCCCCGCTCCGTTGCCATTCCTATATCCAGGTAAATGTGTATCTTGGTAAGTATTTCCTAGAAAACACTTACTCGAATAAGTACATTTACTGATATTCTTTTATTTTAGGTAAATAAAGATAATGATCATTTTAGCCATAAAAAATCATTATTAAAAGGGACAATTTTGTCACATTCAAGTATTGACAACTTTCCCACATGTGAGAAAGTTACTTACCCACCTAGATTTAGGGGATGGGTATCACTTACCTCCTAGGAAAATAAATTTTCCCCCTCTCAAAAAGAAAAAAAAAAGAAACGATCAAGCCCTTAATTGTACATCCGAAACATCTCCTCTGAATGTTAAGGCCTATTGTGATCAGCAGATCAGTTATGAATCCTCCATTATCAGGGTTCGGATCTCCCGAAAGCAAAAACTCTGAGATCATTGAACTGCCAATACTTGGCTAAAATCCTAAAAAAACCAAGTTTACTGAATTTCAGCCCCAAAAATGGTTGTATTTGGTCGCAGTGCAATGTTAATTGGAATTGATGCAAAATTTTGCATTATAGCCTCTTTAATTTGAAAGAAGGGCTTTTATATATTAAAACTCTTTTTTTTTTCATTTTTCCTTTTTTCTGTCAAACCAAACACACTCTTAATGCTTCTCCAAAACAGGTTCAACAAAATCAATTCCACCAAGGGAAAATCTATGATGAGGGAAAGACACGGTATGAAAAGAGTTTTAACCGATTAAAACTCACCTATGCATGAATTTTGATAAATAACACATGATTTGCTAACATGTTTATGATTCAAGTTGATGGGTCAGATGTTTTTCTGATATCATATATTTTCCATAGCATAGTTGAACCCATCCTGCTCTTACTCTTACGGGGGATCAAGAGATTCAAGACTTAAGACTTTGTTTGGAATATAACTTTGTATTTTTTTGTTATTTTGTATTTGCATTGTACATATTTGTATTTATATTCTTCCCAATTTTCAAACTGGGACTCGGTCCCCTGGGTTGTGTAGGTCCATGATGCAGAAAACAAAAAACCACCAAAGCTTCAACTAGGGGTGCAAATGGATCAGATCCTGATCCGATCCTATTTGGTCAAATTAAGATCACTTTTGTTCGGATCTTCGGATTGGATTTGGATAAACCCCTATTTGATCCAAGAAGATCCGATCCAATGTATATTATATATTTATAAATAATATAATATATATATATATATGTTATATTTATTTATAAATATATTTTTATAAATTTGTTATATTATTTATTTTTTATAAAAGGCATGTATATATATGATCAAAATAATTAAAAATACTTGTATTTTTTGTTTTTATTTAATTTAAATTAGTATACTTTATTTTTCTTTTAATAATTTATTAATTTCTAAAGAAAACAAGTGGGATCGGATCAGATCCGAAGATTTGACTTACCGATAGGATTCGAATTCAAATCAAGTCCTATCAAATCCGATCGGATCCAACATAAATAGTATCGAATTGGATCCGTTTGCATCCCTCCCAACTAGGGGTGTCAACGATATTTGAAAATCTGATTTTGAATTCGAGATTCGACATAATCGAGTCGAATTTAGATCATTTGAATATCTAACTGGTCAAATTCGGATATCCTATACATATTGAATAGCTAATCGGATTCGAATTCGGATATGACATGATTCGATTCGATAAATATCCAAACTCGACCAATTATTTAATTCTTATATATAATATATAAAATTTTTAAATGTTTTATATAATTTATATATATAATTAAATTATATAAATAATTTATATATTTTATTTATTATATACTTTATATAAATAAAATATTTATTATTTTATATTATTTATTAATTACCTAATAATTAATTAGTCAAATTCAAATCGAATTAAATATTCGAATATTTAATCGGATTCAAATTCGAATATTAATTTTTAATATCCGTCCAAAATTTTCAATCGGACTAAAATTCGAATATTACCTGTTCTGATTCGAATCGATCCGTTTACACCCCTACTCCCAAACGGGCCATGAGTGATGATGATATTTTTCTTACAAATAATTGATATTCAGAATATAAACATCCGACGTAACTAAGATTTTCTTGCAAGTAAAACCATGAATACAGGTACAGACTCCAGAGTACAAAAAATATAAGCAATTACTGATACTGCGATACTACCAACATTCATTTGAAATATACTATCCCGTCACCACCACCCACCCTCGTAACAGTGTCCGTTACCCCTCCGACGAGCTTGGATTTGGAAGCTGCTCGTCGTAGTCAAACATGTCGGTTGGAAAGTCATCAAAGAAACTATCAGGCATCACTGGGTTGTCATATCCTCTTCCACAACCACAACTATCTTGAGCAATCCCTCCCGATCCAAAACCCGGGAGCCCCGCAGCGAACTGTGCACCATTACAGCCAGGTTCATCATCAGGAGCCAGTTGCCGTGAGAACACGTCTAAAGGGTTTGTGTCTGCAACTCCAACCATGAGGTCTTGGCTTTCTAGCAGAAGTGGAAGGTCCAGGGGATGCTGTGGGAACTGGGGAAATGGGAACTGCGGTAGAAGCTCCATGCATGGCTTCTTCTCAAGTTGGGTAAGGTTTGTATCGAAATTAAGCAGATTAAGCTCTACCAAATCCGGTAGAGGCACCATCATCTTCACCATTTCTGAGTTTTCCTTGTAGCAAGGTGAGTCAGACTCATCCTTGGTTGATGACTCTTCTCCCACATGAATGGAACTGATCAACTTAGGAGCCTGAAAGAAAAACAGAATTAATGGGGGAGTGATGAAGCAAGATATGGAAGAGAAGAAAACTAGAAGAGTTTGAGTCGTCTTTTTAATCTGATTAAAATGTGAAAGTATACCCAAGAAAAAGAAAAAGGAGAACCCATATGGGATAAATGAAATTTCCAGGAAAAAAAATGGGTTACAGAGACCCATCTTCATCTTGTTCTCTGGAGAATCCATGTGTGAGAAGTTCGTATCAGTTTTGACTGTTTTTTAGCAAGATGTAAACCATGCTGTAAGAATAATCCAAGCTTAAAACAATTTTGACTGAAACAGATACAGAGACCAAAATGGTCAAACACACTGGAGAACAGCATTGTGGATTGTTATTCTGTGGAGATATATCTTTGAAAGTAAGACAAACACATGATAAAATTACAAACTTCGTCTCACTGAATTAAAAAATACTGAGAATCTAACAATTTATGAGTCGAGAAATACTGATCAGTTCAATGGCATTTAAAAGTCAATCATTTATCTATCCTTTTTGGGGTTCTTTTCCATTTTCGTCATACCTCCTCCAAAGGTGGCAATTCATGGACAACAAGGGTTCTCCCATTGTTCTTCTGCGACTTGCTTGGTTGTGGAGTCTGAAGAATCCTTGCCAACCTCTTCTGTCTGCTACTCCAGAAGTTCTTCACATCGTTGTCCGTCCTACCAGGCAAATACGTCGCAATTCTTGCCCATTTGTTCCCGAATCGTGCCTGCAAATCGATCACCACCCTCTCTTCTTCTGCTGAAAATTTGCACCCACTTTTTCGCACGAATGTTTACAGTATTAATCAACCACAATCAATTTTGCAACACACAGCAACAATTACACATTTATAACTAATGGGAAATGTTCAGGAAATAACACACATTGATATCACAGAAACAACCGAAACAAAGAAATTCGAGAATGACCCATGAACACAAACAGAGAACTTGTATGGAATTAGAAACAAAATAGAGGCTTACGTCTTTAAATCAGGTTTAAGCTTATTAACCCATCTGAGACGACAGGATTTTCCTGTTCTGGGCAAGAGGCCTTTGGCTCGAATGGAGCTCCAACCTCTGGGGCCATACTTGTTCACGTAATTCAACAGAATTTCGTCTTCCTCAGCCATCCATGGCCCTTTTCTCACTACCATTTCGTCCTTCTTTCCTTCCATTAATAAATGAATTTTTAAGTTGTTAAGATCGTCGTCGTTTGATTCTACCTACGAAAGCACTCTGTGTATTTAGTCAATTAGTTCTTCTCTGGCACAATGAGAAGCATATGGAGATGGAGGAAGAGGTTAATAGTTCATCATGGCTTATCGCTCGAAGTCTTTTGAGACTGACATGATGATGTCTTTGAACGTTTCCTTCATTTTTTCTTTTTTTTTTTTTTTTCATTCCTGCCATTTAATGGTGATTTAAAAGTGACGGTTAAAACGGTTACGGGCAGTCTGGCACTATCGAGTCCCACTAACGCAACGCCCAAATCCCCATCATTTCAAAATAGTGATTGAATTTACATTTATACCCTTGCAAACTTTGTGGAATTACCGAACTCATCAGAACTTTCTGACCGTGAAATGCATATGATCGAGCGGCAGATGAAAGCCTTTGATGTAGTGATGCGGCCCCACCTTGAATTAGATGAAATGACATCTTGGAGGGGCCATAGCACTAAATCTAAGGTCTTGATTTTCAGTTTTAACCCAAAATCATGGAAGAGGAAGTTCCATCCGTTTGAACCATTATCTGATCAGGATTTTAGGCCTGATTTGTTTAAGACGTGTCAATTGGTCAAAATTTGTTGACTTAGTCAAAAACCATTTGACCTGATTGGTTCAACCGTCAATCCATTCAACTCAGTCATCGGATCACGAGTTGCATACTCAATGCATGCAAATTTTTGGAGGCCATATCTTTGCACACCAATGTGAGGTGATCTTTTTTTAAAAACCTTTATTGGCCTCAAATCACAATTTTTAATATTTTTATAAATAAAAAAAATTAAAGACTGAATTAAAAAAACAAATTAAATATAAAAAATAAATATAACATATCTAAAACATAGTTATATGCTATTTATTGATAAAATATGTATTTACACATTGCAAATTGCAATGACTTGTGACAGTCTGACCCATTTGACCCAAATGGTCGAACCGGTGACCCACGACCCAGAGACAAAAACGATTTGGCCTCCATGTCGGTTTTTAAAACACTGAGTGGAAGTGGAACTCAGAGTCACACTGCAACAAAGTTGCCTTTTGATTTAAAAGGGCATTTTGGGCAATAAAAAGGAGGCCACGGTAATGACTTGAATAGGTTGTAAAGGGCTGAAAGCAACTACTCTCTTCAGTCTTACCCAGCGTTCTGTCGGGCGCACAAGTCATGAACCTACAAAAGCAGAGAAAACATAGCACATGGGATCCAAATAGGTGGGAATCGGCCATCCAATAACCGATAGTTTACAAGGTTGGAGGTGAATAGATCATTTAGACAATAGTTGGACTGATATCTACCAAAAATCTTCTATGCGCCACTTTTATATTACGGCTCAGAAGTCAGAATATAAGGATGATAAATCAGCCATCAATTTTTTAAATGTGCTTAGTAACGTCAATGGGTTCAACATCCAAAATAGGTCTTTGGAGAACTACAGAGAGAGAGAGAGGGGTCAACTTGTATAATACAGAATTGCCAAAAAAAAAACGTATTACTTCACACAGCAAAACAGCTTAGTAAAGCAAAAAAAAAAAGAAAAAAGGAAAAATTGAGTTAAGCACTTAAAACTCCACCAGTCCAACCTATATAAAATTTTACAAAAATGCGGGCAATCTTCCCTGGATCGATTTGAAAGTAGCATACAAGGGCCACTTACATTTATAATGGGTGAAAATTAACGAAGGGGAGGGGAAAGAGACACCCATCAAAATTACAATTTTCTCAAGGATTCACAAACCCAAATCATCTGTATCTGCTAACCCATAATAGCCTAAAAAGTCCGTGGGGGATCAATTATTGTGCCCAATCCATGAAAATCAGTCAGAAATTTCAACAACATAATCCCCCGCCGATCCTTGCAAAAGACATCCCACCGCTTGTTAGGTTCTCCATTCTTGACCCATTCGTAATCGAGTTCATGCATTTCCTCCACTTACAACAAGACTTCTGGTAATTTAGACCAAAACCCCAAGGTATACAGGGAATTTTACAAGACATAGTTGTAGATATGCACCTATCATCTTCTGGTAAACCTGCTTCTTCTTGTTCGCCTAGCAGGAGTCACAGAGGAAGCTTTGCCAACAACTCTTTGAGGAGTTGGCTCATCATCATCCTCACTGGTTTCATCGGATCTCCATCTTAGCCCATTATCTGCATCCATAACCTCAATAGGGGAGTCCCTGTTTTCATGGCTGAGAACACAGACCCAACGTAAAAAAGAATAAAGTCATATCAATACCCCTTTCTGCATCAGGATTCAAAATGAAGAGTGAAAAGCATCTTTACCTCCAAGATACATCCATTGGATCTTCTGCGGAAATGGCTTTCCAAGGCTTATCTGATTGGGCAGGCCTACCAGAGACAGTTGGGTCCCAATCTTGAAGGGAATCTTTTAAAAAACGATTGTTGCTGTTTCGTGTAGTGATTGGATCAATAGGATCCCTGAAAGAATATAGAGGATTATTCTTCTCCGCTTGGCTAACAAACCCGTTTTGTTCCATTCCTGGGGAGACTTTCTCAAGTCGATTGTCTCCAAAGTAACTACTCTGGAGCATCTTGGTTGAACCTTTGCCTACTTTCAGGGGTGTACTATTCTGAGGACTAACCAGATGACTTTCAGGACTTGAAGCATCATCCCGTTTAAAGTTTTGCCTCATGCCAATTAGAGATCTCCGCTCTCTGGTGGAAACGTAACTTGAGGTCAAATTGTCCCTGTTGTGAGGACTAGAAGGACCACCTGCAACAGAGGTGAGATACCTTGCAGGGAGAATGGATGGAGAGTAGAAGTTACCACGTTCAAATTGGGAATTTCTGGCAGATCCAACCAATTTAGCTGGAGTGTCAAACAATGAAGTTTTCTTGTAAGGAGTTGTATGATCCATCTGGAGAACTGAAGGATCACTTGACATTGGAAGCAGAAAATTGGTGGAAGCTGGCTGCTGTATCTTGAGAGATTTTGCACAAGTTTCAACATCCTTAGCGGCAGGAAGGCAGCAAACATCCAAGTTTCCACTGATAATTTGTTGCCTATGTACTTCTGGGAGCAACTCTATGCATTTATTCTGTCCATGACATCAAACCCAGTTCAGAACTTCTTACTTGCATACATACATTTCCTCTTGCATATATTTATATCTAACAAATATTAGAATAAAGATCAAAGTTCCTAAATGGAATTCACAAAAGACCAAAGGCAGAAAAAGCACTGTCCTCCCATGAAACCACCAAAATATAACTAGCCCATACCCGAAAAATTACAACCCAGAACAAGCACCGTCTTCTCATGACTAAGTTCCATATGAAGAAAACACACATCTCAAAGCATAAAGCAAAGATCAAAACATCGAAATGCCAGATACCAACAAGTGGGTATCAGTGTGACTATCAATATAACCAATATTGTAATTTTTTTATTCTTTTTATTTTATCAGCATTAGAGATTAGAGGGATGTATCCTACATCCCAAAGTTTTAAACTTCAAAAACCCTGTGTATTACAATATGCCCCTTTCAATATTTTTTATCCTTGGCATGAAGTAAACAGACCACTTAACAGCATGCATCCCCCACCCAAAAAAAACACTGAAATCCAAAAGGTGAAATGCAAGTAACCATTGATCAGTTCTATGAGTGGAGAGGGGAGCAAGTGATTTGGAACCCGAAATTCAGAAGACCTTTGTTGGACCAAGAAGTAGAAGAGTGTATTCTGCTACTGGAAAAGTTACAAGATACAAATATATCCAGAACTACAGCAGATGGATTATGGTGGAAAGAATGCAGTGATGGAAGATTTTCAGTTAAATCTTTCTACAATGTTTTGATGAGAGATAGCAGGGAGTCAGACCAGATTAAAGGTGTGTGGAGAAACCCAGTGCCCCCAAGGATAGAAGCTTTTGCTTGGTTGGTGGCGCATGACAGCATCCTAACATTAGATCACTTGAAATCCAGAGGCATAAAGTTAGCAAACTGCTGCTATATGTGCAATCAGGAGGAAGAAACAGTTCTTCATCTCTTCCTATCATGTAATGTGGCAGATTTCATCTGGAAGTTCTTCTCTTTCGAATTTGGAGAGAATGTATTTCTCCCTTCAGTTCCAGCAGAGATTTTCTCCAAATGGCCGAAAATCAGAGGAAATAAGAAAGCTAAAATCCTATGGAGTTGCACCCCATGCGCAGTATGCTGGTCCATTAAGAAATAGAAGGGTGTTTTTTTTTGATAAAAGAAAGAAATAGAAGGGTGTTCGAGGATAAGAATAGAAGCATCGAGTGTTTGATAGCAGGAGTGGGTAATCTGATTTCAGCTTGGGTTCTCAGCCTTCCAGATTTTGACCAAGTGAACAAATCTGATCTGTTAGAGAATTTCTGGGGCACTTTGGAGCTGAATCCTTTTTTATTCTTTTTCGGTTTGAGTTGACCTGTATTTGGTTTGTCAACTTAACAACCATCATTTTGAGATGTACTGCTTTTTATTTCAATAAAATTTCCTTTTATCCTTCAAAAAAAAAGGTGAAATGCAAGATTGCACCTAAAATTTCTCCCTCCTACAACCCACAGGCAAGAAAAACAGTAGGTTTTCCACTAAAATATTGTGAATGGGTGGATGAAATGCAACATACCACAAAAAAGCTGCTGAACAAGTAGAAGGGGTAGGGATGAAGAATAATGGGGAAGAAAAGGTGGACTCTGCTTCAAGAATAAGACTTACTACTGATGTTCAGTATTTACAAAGAGATGAGATTCTTGGAATGTGACCAGAAATCACCCGAAATAAGAAAGAAAAATCCCCATCCACCTACCAACCCTTCACCAAACTCTCATTTGGATATTCAATGGCATGACACTAACACTCAAATCTCAAACTCTCAAGTAAATAAGCAAAGAAGTCATAAATCACTTACCACCAATCCTGTTCTCCAGTGACTGATTGATTTAATTCTGGATGCAGCCAGCTCACTGATAGGTGTCTTTGAGGTGAAATCTTGCTCCAAAGTCTGAAGTTTATGATCAACTTGACATGCCTCAATGTATCGATAGCGCTGGAAAAATAAATAAAAACAGATTTCTATGGTAAGCGCTCAATTCATTTTCTGTAAATTGTAAAACATCACACTAAAATTAAAGGGAAAAAAGAAGAAGGTTCAAGGTAAAAGGTATAAGATAATACAGCTTCTAAGTTTTCCCAGGCTGAAGTTCGACATGCAAAGAAGGATGTATGATCTGACTAAAAAAAATAGAGAAAAAAAAAAGCATGGACATTGCCACATTGGAGACACTTTTGTAATAGACATTGATGCAAGATGTCAAAATATGTTAAAACTCCAAGTCCTATTAAACTTAAATGCTTGTCAGATTTTCAAGGTAATACAGAAATAGATCGACGGTAATTTAATTACAGGAAAAAGGAGTTATGTAGGATCACCTGCTCTGGTACCATATTGATGTAGGAATAATAACACTGATATCCACTGATGTAGGACAAACAACTCTGATACCCAATTAATGTAGGATGACCATAACCCAAGAGGCCAAGAGTGAACCTAAGAAAGTCTTTATTGGCTATAATAGAGTTAGGGATAACTATAGAACTAAAAACAGGGTTAAGGACAGATTCACCTAGGGAAGATAAAAATATAGAAAAAAAAAAGAAAACAAAGCCTAGGATATAATTTTCTAATTAAACTTTGTAGATAGATTTAGAATATTATGGGGTGATTTAATTCGAAAACCTTTTAAGTAGGTTTTCCATAGAAGGCCAATATTTTTCCTTCATGAGAGAAAGTGAGAAACTGCCAAGATTCTGGAAATTACGGTTTTAAATGGAGATTTAGGATGATATTTGGTACAATGAAAGGTGATGAAGACTTATGGGAGGCACACAAATATAAGAGCAATCACCGATGATTTGGCACAAGAAGGCAAAATTTGCCAACACATGAAAGAATAGTTTTCTATTTGAACTTGAAAAATACATGTATCTATTTTATCCTTTAAGCTGCATTTGGTAAGAATGCAAATGTAGAACCGAGGCAAATTTGTACTCCAGTTTTGCAGGTGCTTGGTAAGAATACGTCTTTAAACTGAAAATGAATATAAATTTGTTTTTTTTTTCCTGACATGTTGGCATTTAAAATAAGGACAAAGCTTGCTCCAAAAAATGGAAGCAATTTTTGCACTAAAAGTTAGGGGTGGACACATCCCGAGCTTTTCACGAGTTATATGAGCTTGGCTTGCGAAAAGCTCAATTCAGATATAGAGCTTCAAGCCGAGCTCGAGCCCAATGAAGCTTGACTTTATTTCTATATGTAATGTTTTTAATTTTTTATATGTATAATTGTTTATTTTTATATGTATAATTTTTTATTTTTTATATGTAAAATAAAATAAATAAGAGAGAAGCCACACAACAAGGAAAGAGAATCTAAAGGAGAGGGGCATAAAAATTGGAGTTCATTAGAAAAAAAGTTGGAGAGGGAAAGGAAAGGAGAGAGAGAGAGAGAGAGAATAGGGATAGAGAAGAGAATCCAGATAATAGAAAGGGGTGAGAAACATAAAAATTGGACTTCATTAGAAAACTAAGAGAAAGAAAGGACATAAAAGAGAGAGAATCTAACGGAATGATAAAGAAGAGGATATGTGGAAATATGCTAATAGTACATGGCAGATCAGTACAGACTGTACAAGGTAAAAAGAAAATGAGAGATAAAAACTCTTATCTCTTCCCACCCCAAGTTTCTGACTTACAATTGTGCCCAGAAAAAGTTTTTCTTCCCACCCCTTGTCTGGCTAAAGCATCAGCTACAGAATTAGCACAACGCTTTATCCAGTTGAAAGATAGTTCCATCTCTCTTGTCAGCCATCTAAGTTTCTTCTTTTCATTGCTGCAAATCCACATCACCATCTCATCACTTTGTAGGATATGTGGTTCATCTTTAATGAAATTACCATGCATTATATTTTCTCAAAAAAAAGAAAGGACATAAAAGAGAAAAAAACCACATATCCAAGAGGACAGAGAATCTAAAGGAAGGAATAGGGAGAGGAGAGAGAAAAACCCAAGTTACATATGGGAAGATTAGACATTCTACACATAACATAACACCCCTATTTATAGTGGTCGCTAGGAGAGGGAGACTAATCTTTTCCTCCCATAATATTTTTTGATCAATATATTCCTCCCATCATACCACATTTAAAATTCTTCTCTTCTGTTGCACACACTTCAAGATCACCATATTATAGTTTCAGAACAACAATTATTCCAATATTGGTTACGAAACAAAAGATATGTGTAGTTTTACTTTTCATACAATAGACTATGGAACCAAAATAAGGAAAAAAAAAAGTATATACGAGAGTTCAGTAGGTCCATATTAACACCATACACATAAAAGATTGCTTGTTGGCTGCAGCCAAGCTATACTACTACCCTCAAATCAAATGCCACTGTATCAAGACTGGAAAATGAAAATAAGAACTTGGATTTTCATATACTTTAGCAGATAATAAATATGTTCTATGCAATAGGCACTCAATGTCACAGAAAAAAAAAAAAAAAGTCTCTTATTACCAGCCAACGTTATACATAAATGTTCCCAAATCCTAATTGGATCAAGTAAAGACCAAAGAGCTTCCTACAAAAGCTTATCTGTTTGTGCTGCATATGGCACATCAAGACCATCCATCAGATGGGACCCACAGGATTGGCCACTTGTTTAACTCCACAGACCATATCAACCTAATATCCGACTTTGTATGGAGTTTTAACCAATTGGAAAATGGAAATAGCCAACAATAAAAAGTCATTACTCAATGATGGTCCAAAGCTATCCAGGGTCTTGGGCGGGGTGGACTGAATACAGGCCTAATTAGCACAAAGTGGCCGCTCTAAGACTCAAACCCCTTTCTCGTGCTTGTCATTAATACTTTCAATTTTTTAATATAAAGATTTTACATAAAAAAAGCATCCATTTTGAATTTGTGGCCAAAAGACCCTAGTTCATTTAGGGAAACTTACCAAACTCCATATTGCCAAACTTATTTCCTTATAACATAACCCTTCCCCAACTTCTAACTTATTTTAGATTTAAGGATTAAACAAACTGAACAATACGTAACAGCTAACAGGACAATCAGTGTACTCCCATTCAGTAAAACAGTCCAAAATTTGTCATCAAAGTCCCAATAAAAAAATCAACTTTACTAGCACAATCCCATCTAAACCATCAACCAATTAGATGTAATGACACCGTAAAGAAACCAAAAAAAGTAACCGAGTATAAGCATCACGTCTTAAACAGAGAACAAGTTCAGTTACCTCTAAAAGCAAACATACAACCTCCAGTTACCTCTACGATACAGTATTTTGGATGTTAATGTGCACAATGTTATGGGCCATAAATGAAATTTTTTTCTCATTCCCAAATTAAATGTATAGACCTGAATGGATACCTGAAGATAAAACACAACAAGTAGACTTCCAATTGTGGTTGAAGGATCTTCAGTGGCATAGTCTAAGAGACACTTGTGGAGATACTTCTCCTCGTCAGAATTCCAAGGTAATTCTATCATTCGATCAACTAGGTTTCGTCGGATGCATAGACAACAAATTTCTGTGACCAAAGCTTCCATCTGGTCCACCCAACTCACATATTGACCATTTAATCCATCTGATAGGGCCCGGGAAGATCCGTGCTTCAAATTATCTTCCTTCACCTTCATGCAATGTGTCCTCTGGTACATAAAGGATTCAGTCAACAGTCCACACTCAACTCTCACCCGAACTGCTGTCACAGCCTCACGAAGGGTGACCGGTTGCGGTTCACCATGCTCAGTATTAGCATAACCAGACAGCCCATCACGCCCAGACCACCGTAAAACCATCAGAGCTGCTTCAGGATTTTGCCTTTCTAGCAAAACTTGGGAGATCTTTGGATGTGTTACAGGGCTTGCAATTTCTGGAAGAAGACGACAAGCTTCCTAAAAAGAAAAAAGAAGAAAAAACAATTAGAAGGGTAAAATAAATCGAGAATAAAATTCAGACTTGACACTCCATAACAATCTATAAATTTCATCTACAAGATAGTAGGAAGGACAATCAATTTTGGATAGAATGGATACAGAACCAAAAGCCTTAGGGAAATTTTATTTCATATAACAAGCAGAGTTATTATTTGAGGATATTGCCCACGCAAAACCAGGGTTCTTGTAGTAGATCCCAGCCAGTTAAGACTTAAATTAGGCTTTTTTACTTTCATCTGAGTTGATTTGAACAGGCATAGCTGTTGAATGAAATGCATATGCATCAACTTGAAGGTAGTAAATGGGATGAACCATAATATAATAAAAATACAATGAATATATGTAATGTCATCTTAGTACCCTGATAAAAACCAGATCTAGGATTTAGATCTGAAAGAAAATATGAAGAAATTATCCATAACTTACCTGCAATGCCTCATCTGTATGATCATCCAGAAGATAGAATGTTAACGATTCTAGTAGAGAGTGCCTGGTTATACCAAATGTAGCAGCAAAATCATCTATAACATATCTCCACTTTTCATCAGGCATTGTCCAATGCCAATCAAACAAGTAATACAAGAACTGCCATAAATTAAGGGGAACAAGGGAAAGAAATCGTATGTAATTGGAATTAGAACCATGAGCAGAAGCATTTATACAGATAAAGGATACAATTGCACGTTTTGCAACTACCATATCAGAACTTCCATATAAAAACAGCATGTCAGTAGCAGCCCGCAAATTTTCAAATGGATAGCATCCCACAGCTCCCATCCTAGACCTGAAGATTGACAATGAACTTACATCCTTCTGCAAGGATGTAACTTCTAGTCCATCTCCCATGGCTTGCCCATAACCTTGTTCTATCTCAAGGTTTGATATTGCATCTTCAATGAAGAGGGTGGACCCATCTTGCTGGGTAGACTCTTGAGAACTATTAATCATGTCAGGCCATGCACGCCTGATTGCAGCTGACTTCCTTTCACGAACGTGAGTGCACCATGAAGTGAAATTAGAATAACGTGACTTAACGCTCTCAAGAAACTGATGTTTTATACACCAAATCATGATCTCCAAATGCTGAGAAGACAAGAAAATGTAGATAATGGGAAGATAATCAGTTATATGCTGAGACAGTAGATTTTTTATCACTGTAAGCATCTCTCAGATCTCCTAAGCACAATCAAACTCATAAAATAAAATAAGATAAAGAGAAATATGATATCAATATGATGTGATGGTAAAAATAAAATTATAATAAATGCATGGAAATAAATAAACCATATCATATGAAAATGAAATTTGATACGAGACAATAGAAGCATTTCTGAGTCCAACTGACCCACAATATAGAAAGGAAAAAAAATAAAGCAGATGTCATACAACTTAAAACACAAATATAACCATCAACATGTGGTCCCCTCATACATGCAATACAAAAGCACCAACCAAATTAGCATAAAAAAACTGAAATGTGTAATGTAATTTGGTATCACAAAAGTTAACGATAATGACATGATACAGATAATAACACATCACCTTATCAGGCACACAAGTTCTTTCAATTCCGAATCCCAACTCACAAGTTCCAGTAATAGTTCAAACAGTCAAATATACATACCTAATGACTCATCAACTCAATAATAAATGCTTCAAGGGTTTAGAGTAATCAAACCTGCTTTGCTTTTAATACATTCTCTTGAAGGTGGTGCAAGTCATTAAGCTGTGCAGAAAGAGTTCCCCTAAAAGATGATTCCAAAACCTCAAGCACAGTGGAGATACCAGAGAGATGCCCTGAAAACCTTAGTAGTAAACCCAGTCTTGTTCTCATCCCTTCTACTTCAAGAGTATCTGTTAAAAATGTGTTTAAGGACCTGAACGCAGAATAGGCCTCTGGCTTTTACGAAAGGAAAAAACAAACCAAAAGTAACTTGATTCATATGTAAAATTAATTGAAACATAAGGATACAAATTCCCCTAAGATCTGAAATGATATTGTCAAATGTCCGTCTGCACCAATCTTTAACAACTACTTCATCCAGCAGAAAAGCAACCACGGGGTTACTAGACACAGCACTTTCATCCATACAGACATCTGTAACATCTGACGAATTTTGTCAAGAAACATACAAACAGAAGCCATTCACAATGCTCCAGTACCTCAGATGCCTTGTTTCATTTATTTCAGACTTCTGTGAAAAATATAAATGATTACAATATTACATTTCTCAATGGTCACAGGAGATAATACTTTTCAACAAAAAAAAGAACTGCAGCAACTGCACTTGCAAAAAGCATTTCCAAGGATGCTAAATACTAATGTTTACCAAAAGAAAAATACAAAAACTTTATCAACTTTCAGTTTTTTCCTTGCGGTTTCTTTTCACTAGTTTTCTAGAGAAATCCCTACATGAATAGAAAACCAAAAGAAATTAAAAGAAACATTGTCAACTTGTACAAGATATTTATAACTGTGCACCCAAAAAGAAGATTCCAGGCAGGCCTGGCTTAAGATTTGCATACATAAAAAATGGAGCATTATTCCCTCAGCCAACTAAAGGAAATAAAGCACCTCAGCCAACACTGTTATTAACCAGCAGCCTTTGGCCAATGGATGTTGACCAATTCGACCTCGACTATTCTCTTGGTCAAATGATGAGACCATGACTATCTACAAAAGAAAGCAAAAAGAATGATACAGTGGCTGATCAAAGAAGATGTGCCACTATACAAGATATTTGTAACTTGCACCCAAAAAGAACAGGTAGGCCTGGCTCAAGATTTAAATACATAAAAAATGGAGCATTATTCCCTCAGCCAACTAAAGCAAATAAAGCACCTTAGCCAACACTCTTATTAACCAGCAGCCCTTGGCCAATGGATGTTGACCAATTCAAGCTCAACTATTCTCTTGGTCAAATAATGAGACCATGCCTATCTACAAAAGAAAGCAAAAAGAAGGATACAGTGGCAGATCAAAGAAACCAAGTTGTTCTCCATGGCAACATCAAACAGGCAATAAAGCCGTTGGATGTCAGCTGTCAACTGCTTCTCCCCATCTTCTTTCTCTTGGAATCTGTCATCATATTTTTTTGAGATAAGACCAGCCTCCATGCATTCATAGTAAAGACGATGACTGATTCTGTTTCCAGTCTTTGGTATTGGAATTCTACAAATTGGGCATAGATCACACCGCTGACTACATTCAGCACACAGTGAGGCATGCCTACATGAATTTAACACATGATGCACATAGCGCCCACATCTCCCCAAGTCTCTAGTTGCTCGACAGCGCTCAATTTTTGCTTCATTGCACAATTCAATAAGATCAATTGATGCCAAGTGTTTCAATACTTCCTGAAATAAAAAAACACAGAAAAAATATATATACAGAACATTTCAAGAAGTAGTATAACACTCGACAAGAAAAAGATTAAAGTAAATTGCATCAAAAAAACTGAAAAGTTAGATGTGGGTAGACCATAGATAATCGCCACTTTTGTTGAAGGATACAAAAGAAGCAACCTTTACTTGCTTAAACATAAATTCAACATAGAAATTTTGAGTGAACTAACTTACCAATCTCCATGATGAAAGAATGGGACAGAAATACCCTTGCATTTGTTCTTTGGGGCGGATGAAAGGGAAAAAATTCAGCTAGAAGGAGTTGAGGGAGAATAAGATAATTGTTGAAAGAATAAAGAGGCCCCAAAAAATTGCATAGGAGTAGCAAAATCTCAAAGCTAAACATCCACAAAGACCCCTTGGCCCTGCCTCAGCAAGAAACCAACCCAATTGCATTCTTGGATGAGATATTTCACATAGAGTTTGCAGTCTGGACAGGCTTTATACCCTTTGCCTTTCTAGAAAGTAAAAATTCCAGATGGGAGGCAAGTAGACTAGGAGAGACCATGAAATCAGAATTCACCTTATCCTTTAGACAACTGGCTCAAAAGGACAAGGAAAGAGGTCTTTAATGGGAGTTCTGTCACACCATAAACCAGTCCAGAATTTAACAGGTTTATGAAACCCAGACTTCTTATGGGTCACTCCAGAGGACATGAAATCTATGTTACCCAGACAAAGCAATGCTTCAGTTATCAAAAGAACAAGAGGCAGATACAATCACACCTTTTTGCATGAAGCATAACAGCAAGATTACACTTACTAAGGATGACTCACGAGTTATATCACCAACAAATTACACTTCAGTTATATCACCAACAAATTACACTTCAGTTATATCACCCACAAGTGGAATGAGTTTATTGATGTAAAAGAATGAGTAACACCTATACCCCGGTAGGTAAAGAGAATAGCATATAAAACAGCCTTAGGCTTACCATGCATACCTAAATAAGCAATATTAGTTCCAGGGCATGGTGCCCTCCAAACAAAAATATCCCTTGGAATCCTAGCCCTAGCCAAAGAATCTGCTGTTTTATTTAGCTTTCCTGAATAAACAGTTCAAGCTGGTTAAAAGAACTTTTTTTCCTTCTCTAGGTAAAAAATTTAGTGCCCAAGGACCACCTGAATCTTAAGGCATCCAATTTTACCAGTTACCACCATTTGGCAGTCTCCTACTACTACTATTACTATACCCATGCAACCTGATGAAAAGGACAATTATGAGGAAGATCCCTTCACCTGCTGGGCCCAAAAAGCTGATTAGGATATTCTCCCCATCATCTTTAAAGTTACTCCTATATCAAAAGCCCTTGGATTACTTAAATAGCATCCATCAAAATATAATCTTGTTCTTCCAATTTCTGGAACTTCCCTCACCAATCACATATTCACATGCTTTCTTCCAATAAGCAACTCTCAAGTGTAACACCATGATGAGATCATAACCAAAGACTTTTCGGTTATTTAGAAATTAAAAGGCATTTAGTAAGAAAGAGGTTTTCAAGTTTCCAAACACTAAGATTAGCATTGTTGATCCCCCCCTTTTCTGATCTACAAATTATGCCCAGTTCAAAAGATGAGTTTTTCCACATCCCCCCCAACCAACCTCTTAGCAAATCTTTTTCAAACACTAGTTCCAAAAATAAAACTGCCTCAAGATCCCCCCCCCCCTCTCTGATTTACAAATTATGCCCAGTTCAAAAGATGAGTTTTTCCGCATCCCCCCCAACCAACCTCTTAGCAAATCTTTTTCAAACATCAGTTCTAAAAATAAAACTGCCTCAAGATCCCCACCTGAAAGATGTCCCTAGAACTATTTATCCACCCTATATTAAAATATAAAAAGGCAGCCCAGTGCATGAGGCTCCTGCACATACAGAGAGACAGATGTACACAGCCTTACCACTGTGAATACAGAGAGGCTATTTCCAAGATTTGAACCCTGGTCACCCAGGTCACAATGGAGCAACCCAACAGTACACAGCCTTACCACTGTGAATACCTACATAGAATGTTGCAATCTTCCACAAATAGATTAATTCCTAGCAAGGAACTTTCTCTTCTTTCATGCACTCATTTCCAATTGGAGGATATCTAAGATTTGGTCATCTTCAAAAAAAAATAAGCTCCATGAGGAAGAGATGATACAACATCCAATCCACCTGGACCACCTCCCTTCTTTTCAATGGAACTATGCAATAATCTAATAAATCTAATCCTTGCAAATGAAATTAAAAAAGGTTGAAAATAAAACTATGAACACTCTAGTGAGTAAAAAATTGATAAATAAGCTTCATCAGGCATTACTTCTTGGGAAGATTGTATGGTAACAATTAAAAAATTGCAAATGTTTCTTGAAAACCCATATTCTAGGCATTTCTCAACCTTCTGTTTTTACAAGGGAGAGGGTGAAGTGGACATAAATTTCATGGAACCAGATAAAATAGATGTTGCTTACTCAGCAAAACTAAACAGAAATATCAGATACCTATAGTGATGAAATGACAAAAAAAATCTAAGACAAAATCCAGGCAATAGAAATTTTCTCAACAGCATAGGCATTCAGAGAAAAGATGAGTTATTAATTGAAAATGGAGGAGAGAATCCAGCCCCTATTATGAGTATCTTACATCAAGATGTAAAAAAGATCATAAGATGCCAGACAAATCATTAAATATTGCATCATTGAGATATTCATGCCAAGCAAGAACCAGGAGGTTAGAGCTGATTTAATTACTACTACAGAAAAGGAAAGGCATCAGTGTATAAAATACATATAAATATAGAGCATTTATTCCAAAACTAAGGTTCAATATCATTTTGCCTGACTAGAGAGGCACCCATCTAAAGATAATTGAAAGATAAGCAGTGTATCAAAAGTGAGAAGCAAAAGAAAAGCACAAGGGCCCTCTAGCACCTAAGGCACAAGGTGACGCATGTTCCTTGACAAAGCAAGCCTTACATCTATGAGAAAAAAACAAAAAAAAAATTAATAAAAAATTAAAACATAAAATATGGAAATTTGAACTTTAAAAAGATAAATGTTTTAAAAAGTTTATTAGCTCAAATCCAAATACACAAACATAACAAACAAATTCAAAGTGAAAGTGAAATGCCCTGCATTCTACTTTGAATACTCAACAATTCAAACATGCTAAACTCTGAATGTGTTTGCTTATCTCGTAGTTGTACTACTTCAAGTACCTAGTGTGACATTAGACGCCAGATGTCTTGCATTCCTAATCCCATGAGATTGGGGCCTTTACATCGATATCTCTTCAAGGCCACAGGGGAAGGGGGTCAAAGAAAGTGACACTAACCCTTTTCTTTGCTCATATATATAAGAGGGCTGGTTTTATGGTTTTGGCTGCAGTTCATTCTATTTAGAATTAGGGGCCATAGATTAGGTGCATTAATATTGCTTCTTTAGCAAAAATTTTGCTATTTAAGATCCAATTGGTAAAAAATGAGAATTCAAAACGCCAATGTGTTTTGTTTCTTTTAAAAATTAATAGATCATTACTAGTTTACTAGTGCACAGGCATTAATAAAAGGTAATATAAAAGCTATTAAACCATGATAAAGGTATGAAACAAATAAATAACCAAAAAGGCACATTTTTTGGTTAGGTGGGCACTATGAGATGGATGTTATGTGATGATTAAAAGATTAGTTTTATTTTGCTGGAGTGTTGATTGAATCTGACAATTTTAAGCATTTTGGGGCTGTGGTGTTGGGTTTTAATTGTAATTGCTTGTAAGGTGGGGCATTATTATTCTTTTTGTAGTTTCAGTTGTTGTTGGGGCCACAGTGCCTTTTTGATAAGCTTATACTTTTTATTTTTAAAGAAATCTCTTGTCAGGTGTGCCTTTTAAAACACTAAATATAGCCAGTATTTTTCAGGTCCATGTTGGACAATACTGGCCTAGAATGGATATTAATCAACTAAAACTTGTTACGTAGCAACTTAAGAGCCATATTTTAATCAATAGATTAGTTAAAACTTTCCAAATTCTCCACTGTCGGTATAGGGTGAAGATGATTGTGGATTGCGTCTTGCTTATCCACATTTGCCACCTTCATCATTATTTTTATCTTTTTAGTCAAATTCATAGTCTGTAATAGATGGTTACCTTTAGACTCCTCATGGGATGAAATAATGATGCAAGGAATCAAAGAACATAGAATGGAAAAATGCATTCAATGCTTGAACATAATCCTGGACCCAAATTTCAATTCTTAATCCATGATGGTTGATTATTTGGTAATGAGAACCAAGTGCATTCACCTTCTAAGGCAAAACCATTGTGGATCCACAATCCAGGATTAATGTTGTATAATGAAAATGAGAACCAAGTGCTTTAAAGTTCTATAAGTTATAGAAAAGTGGTCATGCACTTTGAAAAATCTAATGGCACTTTGTTTCTGGCATCTAGAAGTGTAGGCATGGTTCAGTGTCTAGTTAATATAGTCAGCAATGTCAGGTCTCTAAAAAGTCATCCTCATTCAAGTATCATTATCCCATCAACTCGGACTTGAGAAATGACTGTTATAATCAAGATATGCATGGAACAAGGCAAAAGTTGACAAACACCTAGCTAGTCTTTGTATCATCCTCATATCACCCATCATGCAAAACAGACTTTGTAAATATATATACCTCGACGCTTTTAAAAAAGAAAACAACTATGGCTATAAGTTGTTGCAAACTCGCAGTAGGGGCATATCATATCGTATTCCTAGCCAGATTAACTCCCACATAATAAAAAGCTATAATAATGGGTGAAATTGCTCAGTAAGTTCTATTGATTTTCCTTGAATTGTACTGCCAATTCAGAATATGATGAACTCCGTTACCATTACTTCTTATTTTAAGAGAGGTGAACAAGCAAACAGATAAATCTTCAAAACCGTGGAAGCCGCCAATTACCCGTTTCCTTGATTCAGATTATTGCTATCGACTATGTTGTAGAGCATCAAAAATCAGAAACTTGCAATGGTCAAATAACTTAAGTTGATCCCTTAGGTAAACCGATCCTTGAAGCTAAAGATTTCAGTTTCGTAAGTATATGTCCGCGGATATACCTGAGCAATGAAGCAGAAAAGGGGGGAAAGTAGCACCTGGACATCCTTGCTGTTGTAGTTTGGCTGCAGCGTCGGTGTGGCAGAGCGTAGAGGGCTTTCACCATTGACGAACTCGGAGGAAACGACACCTCCATCGGATCTTCTCCTTTCCATAACACGAGCAAAGAGGCCACTTGCAGAAATGCGAGTTTATCAAGGACTGCAGCGAGCAGCAGAAAAGTATATGGAAGAGAATAAAGGAGTTGGCTATTAGCCTTAAGGAAACAACGCCATTGTTCAGTGTTGAACCTCGAGAAGAGTTTCTATTTTCTAGGTTTTGTGCGTTCTGCGCGTAGAGAGCAGGTTTTTGAAAAAGAGGGGAAAAAATGGAGCGTTCTTTTTCTCTGCTAATAATATACGGAGGTAAATGTAGACCTAACTATTTGGCCGTTGGATTAGAATCTTTGGATCCAAGTATACAACAAACAAATTCCTTGCCTCTCTTCGCAGGAGCTCGGATCTGCTACCCGTAAAGACTACGCACAATACTACAACCCCACATCGGGATTCAAGAAACCGGAAACATCCTTTGGTGTACTCTGTGTAGACTTGTGGGAAGTGCTGTGTATAGGCTTCTATTTTAGTGTCTTTTTTGTTTTTAAGAGGTTTTATTAATCTGATAGAAATAATGATAAAAATTATTTGGGTAAAATACAAAATCTTTTCCTGAAATTTTTAACAATCATAAAAACCTCTCTTATAATTTTATTTTAACAAATACCTCCCTTGAACCTTTGAGAAACTCACGAAAACCTCCCTTCCGTCAGACGGAAATGTTAGATTGATGCACCAGTTTTTTCCAAATATCTATTCTACCCTTATATAAATTATTTTACATACAAAATTATTGAAATAATCTCATTTTAACTCAACAAAAAAATATATTTCAGTAATTTTGTCTGTAAAATTACTGAAATAATCATTAAAAGAGGTTTTTATTGAGTTAAAATGGGGTTATTTCAGTAATTTTGTTTGTAAAATAATTTATAAAAAGGTAGAATGGGTATTTGGAAAAAAACCGGTGCATCAATTTAAGGTTTTCGGTATAGGACAGTGACGAAAGGGAGGTTTTTGTTAAATTTTTCAAGTTCAGAAGAAGTATTTATTAAAATAAAACTATAAGAGAAATTTTTATAATTATTTTAAAGGAGGTTTTTGTATTTTACCCAAATTATTTATGCCTCCCAACGATTTTCTATCAAAATACTCATAGCTAGAGATAACTTTTATCTCAAAAACTGGGCGGGGTTAGATGGGATTGAGGCTAATCCAATTTGTTAAGCCCCCACCCGTAATCCAACTCTTTTTCGGGTTGGATTTGTATCTCTGGCTACGCTGACGTTGCGTTTTTCCTTTTTAAAACATGAAATTAGGGACCGTTTATTTTTAGTTTTCGAGTGTTATTTATTTTTTGGACTTGAAATTAGGGACCGTTTGTTAATACCCGAATATGCTGAACCGGAAAGTTTATCGGTGGGATGTGGGAATAAGATTTTAAGGAAGTTGTGGGCTTTTTATTATCTAATTATTTTAACAACTATAAACTTTCATAAAAAAATATTTTAACAACTAAAAGATAAAGCAATAAGCCTTTTAATTCATCAACTGCAGTCATTACCAAATGAGCTCGAATCCCCTACCCACAAACTCTTGCCCTTTGTAGAAGATGGCAATGCCCCATTGTCACAAGTGACTCCTTCATTGTGCCATCAAGCACCTATTGTCGTCCCATCAAAGTGTCTACAACGTGCCTTCATGGTGTCATCATGTGTGTCATGGGTGGGCTATGTATGTATCTTGTAAGGGGGACCGCCAATGGCGTTATTGTAATTACTTAGTATGATTTTCCACTCTTTTGATGTTTTCTTATGCCACTCCCCCAAAAGCTTAACATACTCTTTGAGGGGAGGTAGGTAGTCGAGTGAGTCATAAGTGTGTAAAGGTTAAGCACGAGATCCCCTCGACACTGAACTATGTGTTTGTGTTTACCACTGATTAATGCAATACAAGTTGTCTTTTGTCTAATTTGTGTGCCTTCTTGTTGCCTTTTGTGTGTTGTTGCTTGCATTTCTAAGCTTTCTCGACCCCATCGAGCGCCGCACGGGGCTTCGTCGATTAGCCCCGTGATAGTTGATATCAGAGCAAGTTGCTCCTCAACACACGTGACCCTTGCATAGCAACACTAGTGGTGGCGCAATGAAGAACAACAAGGAACTCATTGACGAGATTCAGCATGGCCTTGCCCATGCTAGAGAGACCAATGAGGCTCTGGGCGATGAAGCCATTACAAAGAAGGCCCCGAAGGGTCGCACATCCAAAACAAGCAAGCGTGACAAGTCAATTGACAAGCTTGCTGCTTTCGACACACGCATCCTTCGTTGCGAAGTGATTGTTGGGGAGATGCGTGACCGAGTAGAAGAAATCCACCTGAACTTGGAAACAATTGAGAGCTCCATGGTGGAGCTAGAAGCCCGTTTAAATGGCATTATGAACGAGGTCCAAAACGTCCTGAATGGCACCCTCAAGGAAGTCCCTGGAACAACATCCCGACAAGAAGGGAGCTCATCTCGATCCAACATCCAAGACCAGGTTGATGAGATGAGAGTTGAATGGATGGCCATGAAAGTAGCCATGGCCGCTCCTACTGACCTCCAAACACAATTGGATTAACTAAGAGGAGACATGACACTCCTCAAGAGACTAGTGGCCAGCACTCCAAGCCCCTCCACAACACTGGCCCCTACTTGTGTGAAGATTCGAGAGCCCACACCTTATGCCGGCTCCGGAGATGCTAGAGAACTTGACAACTTCTTGTGGCAAATGGAACAATATTTCTTTGTCGCTGGCATTGATGATGACCTAACTCATGTTCATACAGTAATCATGTATTTGACTAACATTTCTATGCTATGGTGGTGCAGGCGATGCCAAGACATTAAACGGGGTACGTGCACCATTAAGACATGGGCTGATTTCAAGCGAGAACTAAAGCGGCAATTCTACCAAGAGAACGTGGAGTACCTGGCACGGAAGAAGTTGAAAGCACTCAAGCATGGGGACTCACTCCACGACTATGTCAAAGAGTTTTCATCACTTACCTTGGAGATCACGAACATGTCCGACAAGGATCTACTATTCAACTTCATGGATGGACTGAAGCCATGGGCCGAACTAGAGCTCCAATGCCGCAACGTGCAAGACCTCGCCACGGCAATGGCAGTGGCAGAGCAACTTAATGAGACAAGCTTGTTAGATGAAGAAGTCCCTAAGCCAGAAAGCCCACGTGCCCCAAATTTGAGTGGGGGAACAAGTCATCCACACCCTCCGTACAACAACTCCAGCTTCAACAAGCCAGCCAGACAAGACTATGGGAAGAAGCCATAAGGAGAGAAAGGCCCTCAGCACCAATACAAACCCAGAACCGTTGGGCCCCCATGTTCTTGCTTCCTTTGTGGGGGGAATCACTTGGTTCGCAACTGCCCAACAAAGAAGAAGATCAATGCCCTTGTCGCCAAGCTCAGTGATGACGAGCGAAGTGATGAGGAAAAGTTAGTGCAGGCGCCAAGAGTGGGCGCCCTTCAACTCTTCAACGCCATGGTGAAGAAAGAGGCCAATCATAGAAGGCCAAAGAAAGCCCAAAGGGGGCTGAAGTATGTAGACATCCTCCTCGGTGGGAAGCCGACTCAAGCCCTTGTTGATACAGGGGCCTCCCACAACTTCATTTCGGTTGTCGAGGCCAAGCGACTCAATCTGAACATTGTGAAAGAGACAGGGTGGCTTAAAGTCGTGAACTCCAAGGCCAAGGCGATTGAAGGCATGGCTCGTAGGGTTGATCTCCAAGTTGGGCCATGGACAAGCAAGACTAATCTATCAGTGGTACCCCTGGATGACTTCCAAATTGTCTTGGGAATGGACTTCTTGACACAGGCGAAAGCAACACTCATGCCTCATATCAACTCTCTGTGCATCTTGGACGAGCGCTCCCCTTGCATGGTACCAGTTATGACTTCTACTAGGGTTCATGGGAAGCAAATTTCTGCACTACAACTTTTTCATGAAGAAGCCTTGTCCGACGCCAACATGGAGGAAGCAGAGAAGTTCCCCACTCTACTAGCTGAAAAAGCCACCCCTAAAGCCAACCTCAACAGCAGCAAGAAGCAGCAGGCCATCAAGCCATCTACACCACTCCAGCAACAAAGTTTGTGCACGTCGACAACCGTCAAGCAAAGCAGAAGACCCAAGGCTATGTCCAAGTTCGCCCACACCTACTACCACAACCACCGGGGAGAGTGAGTGCCACCCAAGCCATTTAGGGACCACTTTCGCACCATCCCTCATACTGAATCACGTAGTAGCCCTATGAGTCACCCTTGGGGAAAAATTCATGGGAACCGACACCCTAACAATCCAAAATACCATTTTGACCCTTACCTGGCCCAAACATTCTCTATAGCCAAGCTGAATCAGCCACCAACATACCTTGAGGCCGCTAGGAAAGGACTTAGCTATAGGAAACCCCAACAGAACAAGCCAACCCAACCATGCCACCAAAATATACACCTCGGCCTTGGACGACAGCCGGTTCGTGGAACAATAGAAGAACCTTCCTTCCGCATCAGTGACTCTAAGGGACCAGCCAAAGCCGATCTCCGAGGACGTAGATCGAATTGAGTGGGGGAGATTGTCACAAGTGACTCCTTCACCGCGCCATCAAGCACCTATCGTCGTGCCATCAAAGTGCCTACAACGTGCCTTCATGGTGTCATCATGTGTGTCATGGGTGGGCTATGTATGTATCTTGTAAGGGGGGACCGCCAATGGCGTTATTGTAATTACTTAGTATGATTTTCCACTATTTTGATGTTTTCTTATGTCACTCCCCCAAAAGCTTAACGTACTCTTTGAGAGGAGGTAGGTAGTCGAGTGAGTCATAAGCGTGTAAAGGTTAAGCACGAGATCCCCTCAACACTGAACTGTGTGCTTGTGTTTACCACTGATTAATGCAATACGAGTTGCCTTTTGTCTAATTTGTATGCCTTCTTGTTGCCTTTTGTGTGTTGTTGCTTGCATTTGTAGGCTTTCTCGACCCCATTGAGTGCCGCACGGGGCATCATTGATTAGCCCCGTGACACCATGGTCCCATGGGTACTGGGTAAGGATGGGGGAAGAGTTTGTGGGTATGAGACCTAGATTGTTATCAAACAAAGTTCCTTTTCGTATTGGGCTAAAACAAAAAATCATGGCCTTGGATCTATTACAATGGCCCCACCAGAAGAATTGGGATATATTCTTCATACAGGGCACCTCACAATGACCTTACAGGCACATCCA